GACGCCATAATTATTGCTACTTATGGCGACACTGCTTCTCGCCAACCCCGTTAGAGCGAACCCGAAGCGTCGCCCGTCGCCAAGATCGCTGATAAACACTAATTTTTGCTTTGTGTTCGTCGGCGCGAATTTGGTCTATTATCTGCGTTGATAAGCGATGTCTATCTTTGCATTGTTGGCTTGTTTTTGGCGAAGGTTCTGCGTGCAAAGGAGGGAGTTTGGGCGTGAGAGGTAGACACGCCATAAAGAGGATGGGAGAGGGAGGGAGGGAGAAGGGGGAGAGAAGGGAAAAGGGAAAAAGGAAGGGAGGGAGGGAGAGATAGCTGATGGGGAGATGGGTGAGAGAGAGAGAGAGAGAGAGAGAGAGAGAGAGAGAGAGAGAGAGAGAGAGAGAGAGAAGAGGACAGACAGAGAGACAGAGAGGAGAGAGAGAGAAGAGAGAGACGAGAGCAGAGAGAGAGAGAGAGAGAGAGAGAGAGAGAGAGAGAGAGAGAGAGAGAGAGAGAGAGAGAGAGAGAGAATAATAAAAGTAAAAACCTCATCCAAGAAAACAAAATACAACAATAAAAGAAAAGAAGGACAAACAAAAACAAAGAGGAAAACAGACAAAGCAAACCACATCATAAATAAGGGAGGAACAGAGAGAAGAGGGAAGGGAGGGGAGGGAACGCAAACATACACACACACACAACACACACGCACATACATACGGGTATCGAGAGTATGAGAGAGAGAGGGAGGGTACATACCATGCGGGTACTAGGGTATGAGGCTATAGGTCTATTGTGGAAAGAGAGAGAGAGGCAGGCCCGCAGCAAAGTTAAGGATCATTTGATGTCACTTACAACGATGTGTTTAGTCTGCATTCACGGCAATCCAGTGTCGGAGAGTTTCCCACGGGATCTGCTCGCCGTTCCAGTATGACGGTCGAGGATAAGATTCTGTTGTGCTCAAGTATGGTGGCAATGATACTACTACTACTACTATTACTAATACTTTTGATAATGATAATGATAACTATGATTATGATAATGATAATGATAATTAAATGCTTTTAATAATGATAATGATAACAATGATTATAATAATGATAATGATACTATTACCAATGCTTTTAATAATTATAATGATAACAATGATTATGATAATAATGATAATTGTAGTGCTAATTAAACTACTACTAATATTGATAATGATAACAATGAATATTATAATAATGATAATTGTAGTGGTAATTAAACTACTACTAACAATGATAATGATACAATATATGATAATAATAATTGATAATTGTCAGTGCTAATTAAACTAACTACAACCAATGATAATTCGAAACAATGATTATGATAATAATAAATAATTGTAGGTGATAATTAAGCTACTATTCATGATAATGAAAACAATGATATGATAATAATAATGAAATTGTAGTCATAATTAACTACTTACTACATGATAATTGATAACAATGATTATGATGATGAGGATAATTGTAATGAAATGTGATGATTACTACTACTACTGATGATAATGATAATAATGATTAACTGATGATAATAACAATGATAATAATGTAATGATAATGATGATCCTACTACTACCCTCCTCCCTTTCCTAATCTCCTTCCCTCCCCCCCCTTCCCCCAACCTCGCCCCCCCCCACCCCCCACCCAACCCAAGCCCCCACCCTCCTAACCCCAACCCCCCCAACCTCCTCCTCCCCCCCTATCCCCACTACCGCCCCCTTCCCCCACCCCCAAACCCCACCCAACCCTCCTACCCCCCCTCCCCTCTCCCCCCAGACTCCACCCCTCGCGCGAAGGCCTTCCGTTGGCGGCTCGTCGTCGAACGACACTCCGCCCGCGCCACGTAACGGACCGCCCCAACCCGCGTAGAGGCGACGTCACAGGACACTCACGAGGACACTCAAGGACGCCTAGTACACGAAGAACGCCCCTCCCCCCCACCCCCACCCCACCCACCCCCTCCACAAAAGTCCCCCACCCATCTGCCTCTCTCCCTTCCTCCTATCTCTCTCCTCTTTCTCTCTCACTCTTTCTCTCTCTTTCTCTTCCCTCCCTCCTCTCTCTATCTCTTACTCTCTCCTCTCTCCTCTCTCTCTCTCTCTCTCTCCCCACCCCCACACACTTCCCTCTCTCCCTTCCTTCCTAATTCCCTCCTCCTCTCTCCTCTCTCCTCTCTCCTCTCTCCCCCTCACCCCCCTACTCCCACCCAAAACTCTCTCCCCTTCCTCCTCCTCCTCCCCCTCCCCCCTTCCTCTCCCTCTCTCCTTCTCTCTCTCCCCTTACCCTACCCACCCTCTCTCCCTTCCTCTCCCCCTCTCTCCTCTCTCCCTCTCCTCTCCCCTTCCCCTCCCATCTCTCTCCTTCCTCCTCCTCCCTCCCTCCTCCCTCTCTCCCTTTTCTCTCTCCCTCCCCTTCTCTCTCCCTCCTCTCCCCCCTCTCTCCTCTCTCCCTTCTCTCTCTCCTCCCTCCCACTCTCTCTCCCTTCTCCTCCATCCTCCTCCCTTCCCTCCCTCTCTCCCTTCTCTCCTCTCACTGACGTCTAACATAATGCGTAACCTGTTGTCGGGATGTAGGATTATGGTGTTGTCAGGATATGTTGTCAGGGGAGTGTAGTGCTGTCAGGAGTGGTCAGGGGAGTGTGGTGTTTTCAAAGGGTTGTGGATTATTAAGGTGTTGTTGGGGGGTTACGGTGGTGGTGTCAGGTGACGCCGAGGTATGTGGTGTTGTTAGGTGTTGCCAGGGTGAGTGGTGTTGTCAATTGTTCTGGTGTTGTCAGGGTATGTAGTGCTACGAAAGGACGTGTAATCTGGTGTTGTCAGGATATGTAGTGCTATGAAAGGACGCATTATGTTGTCAGAGCATAGGTCGGTAAGAGGAGTAATGTTAGTGCTATAAGAATACACAGTACCCTCATAGCAGTCAGCGTAAGTGATGTTGCCAGGTGGTGTAAACTGTTGTCACGTGCAGATGCTATTAGAGTGAGTGTTGTTAGGCAGCTATGGGGACTTGGGCTCCGAATGGTATTTCTTGTTGCTGGGGAGTCGTATGTAGGTTAGCTTTGTATGTTGTTATGTTGTGAGGTTAGCTTTGTATGTTGTTATGTTGTTAATCGTATGTAGGTTAGCTTTGTATGTGTTAAGTGTTGTGAGGTTAGCTTTGTATGTTGTTATATGTTGTTAATCGTATGTAGGTTAGCCTTGTATGTTGTTAAGTCTTGTGAGGTTCGCTTTGTATGTTGTTATATGTTCTTAATCTTATGTTGGTTAGCTTTGTATGTTGTTAAGTGTTGTGAGGTTAGCTTTGTATGTTGTTACCTTGTGAGGTATGTTGTTATATGTTCTTAATCTTGTTGGTTAGCTTTGTATGTTGTTAGCTTTGTATGTTGTTATATGTTGTAATCGTACCTTGTGTGTTGTTAAGTCTTATGAGGTCGCTTTGTAGTTGTTATATGTTGTTAATCGTAGTAGGTTAGGTATGTTTTAAGTGTTGCGAGGTTAGCTTTGTATGTTGTTATAAATCTATGTAAGTTAGCCTTGTATGGTTTCTTGTGAGCTTTGCATGTTGTTAAGTCTTATGAGGTTAGCTTGTATGTTGTTATATGTTGTAATCGTATGTAGTCAGCCTGTATGTTGTTAAGTGTTGTGAGGTTAGCTTTGTATGTTAAGTGTTGTGAGGTTAGCTTTGTATGTTGTTAAGTGGCGAGGTTAGCTGTATGTTGTTATATGCGTATGTAGGTTAGCTTAAGTGTTGTGAGGTTACTTTGTAGGTTAAGTGTGTAGGTTTGCTATGTTGTTATAGCTGTTGTTAATCGGTATGTTGTTAAGTGATTAGCTGATGTTCGCTTTATATGTTGTTTGTTGTGTTGTGTTGTAAGCTTGTATGTTGTTAGTGCTTTGTATGTTTGTTGTTGTGAGGTTAGCTTTGTATGTTGTTAAGTGTTGTGAGGTTAGCTTTGTTATTTGTTGTGTTGTGAAGGTTAGCTTTGTATGTTGTCGTCTTAAATTTGTGTTGTTGTAGAAAGTGTTGTAGGTTAGCTTTGTATGTTGTTAAGTCTTGCAGGTTAGCTTTGTACTTTGTAATGAGGTTCGCTTGTATCGCTCCTTTGTACTTTGTATGTTGTTAATGTTGTGAGGTTAGCTTTGTATGTTGAAGTGAGGTTAGCTTTGTATGTTGTTAAGTGTTGTGAGGTTAGCTTTGTATGTTGTTAAGTGTTGTGAGGTTATAGCTTTGCATGTTGTTAAGGCTTGTGAGGTTATGCAGTTGTTGACAGTTGTCTGTTGAATCACTTAACAGTACTGGTAAAAGTGTTGTCAATTTATATAACTAATGATGATAATGCTGCCAACCTGATCGTGAAAGTGAGGATAATACAGTTGATTTAAACATTATGATAGTAATGTTGATGGTGTTGTCAAGTGAAACAAACAACAGTTGCATATATAGTGTTGGTTACGTAATAATATTGTTGGTAATGTTAATGTAATCATATTCAGCCCGATAGACCTACAGCTGCTATGGTGTCAGAAGTGTTGTAGGCCTACAGCTGGTATGGTGTCAGAAGTGTTGTAGGCCTACTTATGGTGTCAGAAGTGTTGTAGGCCTACAGTTGCTATGGTTGTTATAGACTACAGTTGCTATGGTGTCAGAGGCTGTTGTAGGCCTACAGTTGCTATGGTGTCAGAAGTGTTGTAGACCTACAGCTGCTATGGTGTCAGAAGTGTTGTAGACCTACAGTTGCAATGGTGTCAAAAATGTTGTAGACCTACAGTTGTAATGGTGTCAAAAGTGTTGTAGACCTACAGTTGTAATGGTGTCAAAAGTGTTGTAGACCTACAGTTGCCATGGTGTCAGAAGTGTTGTAGACCTACAGTTTGTATGTGTCAGAGTATTGTAGACCTACAGTTGCTATGGTGTCAGAAGTGTTGTAGACCTACAGTTGTCATAGTGTCAGAAGTGTTATAGACCTACAGTTGCC